CCCCCCCCCCCCCAACCAGGTGCAAATCGTAGGAGTCCTGTTTTCCAACATTTGTGTGGCAATTGTTTTTGACTGTTTATCTCTGATAGCCAAGTGGGAAGGCTACAAGTGTCGTCGTTGCTGGGGTACAGTGGACTGCAAAGCCTTAACATTGAGACAGATATTTTATAGGTGGTTTGAAGGAAAAAGAGCAGAGGAAGTTAATTCCTTGGCATTAACAGGTAATTGGGCCCACTAACCTGGGAAAAATTCTGGCTTGTGCAATCATCTCCAGCACACTTGTTTTGCCAGCACTTTGATCACCAACTACTACAACCTACAAATCAGGAAAATACTACAATGAGAGGGAACATACTAAAAAAACAGGAAGACTACATAAGCCAGTGAACAGTGACTAACAGGTCTCTACAGCTGTATGTAAATTGATCAGAACAAGACTGTAAAATCAGTTTAGAGCTTGAAGCCAGATATTTGTGCCTTCTACCCATGACCAGGCATATCATTTTACAAGAAATCCTGTTGCAGTGTTCACTGTTTTCTATAGGCTTAGCTTTAAGACAGGCACATATTGTGCAGAGGTATCAATGTACTGCCGATACCCAACCTGTAAGGTTGCAACTTCTGGCCAACAGGAGTGTGTAAATAAAAGAACAACAGAAAAAAGAGATTCAGTGGAGTCATTAGCAAGTTGGAAACAATGTAATTATAAGGAGCAACATACCCGTGGTAGATGATCAGTTGTGTTGTAGCTCACATCGTATTCTGACAGGAGATCCAGAACATCAGAATACATGTCAATCAAAGATTTCTGAGAAAGAATGATCAACATAAAAAGTCACATCACAACTCATTAGTCAAGAATGTTTTGCATTTATTTAGCTACACACGTACAAGAACAATAATGAAACTTATAATCACGTGTAAGTACTTTGCAGGATAATCTGTGACTCACAAAATAGAGTGATTTGTGCATTTTTGTAGGTTAGCTGTGATTTTGAAGTAAACATTTCCAGTCACCTTAATCTTTCTTGGGGTCGGCATGCTGTCACCCTTAAGAATAATGACTTGCTTTCTCAACTCTCGGTTGTCACGTTCAAGCTTGTCTATTTCTCGTTGGTATCGTTGCTGCAAGAAGACCAAAAAAGTACAGGTGAAACTGATAGTAAGAGTATTTATAAAAGTATAATTCAGTCAAGCAGTTGATGAGAAGGAACAACTTATAATGGACCTTTTTACAGATGCCATGCAATACAAACAATAACTGTTTTGGGGATTTTTCATTTTAAGAAAAAACTACCTGTTAAGTTCAATTTATCATGCATTTAGAAAACATGCATTCACGCATTTAGAAAACATACAAAGTTTAATAACAATCCATAGCAAGTTCGTGAAAATATGGAACCTCAAAGTTGCCAATTTTTACAAAGAAACCTATGCCAGGGGGAAAGCCCCAGTGAATGAAAAAATCAGAAAAGTGTGACATTGGTAAATCAATAAAAAGGTCCCTTATCAACACATGATGGCAGCAGATTTACATGTGGTCCATGTAAAAGCAAATGAATCTTACTTGCATCTCAAGCAGTTCTTCTTGAGACTTCTCCAGCCTCTCTTGCATCTAAAGACAATACATATCATCAATTGAAGCATTACAGGTTTCCTCGCTCTCAATCCACATTCTAATACACGTACTCTAATTATGAGACTGGCCCAGGTATAAGGGATGAATAAACTGAATAAGTGACAAAGGTAAACAGTCACCTTTTCCATGGCTGTTTTCTTAGGAACTGATGCCTTCTCACCACTTTCCTGTCTGATAGCAGCAGACACTACAGGAGGGCTGACTTCTGACACAAAAGAGCACAAAGGTTGTTACCACGAGGAGGATGTGACAATTACATGCCCAAACTAGTTTCTGACCAACTGGGCAATGGAAAAAAGTGATAAGTTGTTTGAAGTCATCTTTACAGGTGTAAGTTCTCTAGACCAGTTACTACAGGTCTTGTAATTACTTGAAAACAAATTATTAAATGCAGCTTCGAAAGGAACAAAATTTTGTGGAAATTCAAAGTCAGTTGTAATCCACGGTTTTATGGCAAATTTACTCTCAGGTTGATAAATCCTATTACTGAAATGATCCCATATATAGCAAATTGTTTGAAGCCACACAACAACAGTCTGTGAAGTTTCAGATGCAAGGTATTGTAGATCACATCACAGCTACACTACCTGAAGACCAAAACTCATCCACAAAATCTTTGAAACTGCCAACAACGCTGCGAGTGGCTTCTGAGCCTAAAGTTTAGCAAAATAAATCAAAATAAAAAATAAAAATAAAATAGAATAGAATAGAATAAAATAAAATAAAATAAAATAAAAGAGCATATTTATGTTATTATATGTAAAATCCTTGAGATGAAATCCAATAAGAAATTGAGCAATTTCTGTTTTAAGTGGACAAAACTCCCGTACCAGAGTAACCAGAGTAATGTTGAGTATATTACAGTCCTTTTTGCACTTTCTAAGAGCTCAAGATATAAAATTAATATCTACCTGAAATAACACCAAAAACAATTACCCATAGGAACTCAAGGAAATTAATTTAAAAGTTCAGAGAAATTGTGCCAATGCAGGTAAAATTTCATCATCAGTTTTATTTCACCAGTACTTTCAAATTGTTTTGGACTTTTATATGCACAAAAAACCATGCATTTGCTCTGAAAGCCTTCTATTGTCCCATCATAGCAATTGCCTGTTTATATATAGCCAATTAGATCATGGATTTCCAAAGAGTCAGCTACTGGGTTATGCTAACAGTGTGAAGATAAATTGACAGATATTTACGGTACCTCCTGCAAATGTGTTGGACAAATCAGGCAAGCTGTCTTTGAGTTCCCTCAACCAGCCAAATTCAGGTAAAGATTCTTGAAATCTCAACCACTTGTCCTTCCATGAATCATAAGTCTGAGAGGAAAGTACAAGAAATAACAAAACCTCACAGTGATCATGCTCAGTATAAGTTTAATGTACATGTACGTGTACAGGTGTGCATATACATGTACAATGATTATCAGGGTATAATAACATTTACTACTTTACCACAACCACCAGGATAAAAACATGAAGAAATATGTTTTTGACTGGACAAGAGCTATAAAATGGGGATGAAGGGTGAGGGGGTAAGGGGTAAGGGGTGAGAGGTGAGGGGTGAG